CCCCCCCCCCCCCCCCTCTACCATGCATTATGAACGCAGCCTTAACGGATTCAAAGTAAACTTTATTAGTCCTAGGGGATAACCGACGTGCTTTTCGAATAGAAAAGCAGTTGCATGACGTAAAACAAGTTATAACAGTGGACAGGCACATCATATCCTGGGGGTGGGGTGGGTGGGGGAGAGACACTGTTTGAAAAAAGGGCGGGGATGCTCATCGTCCTTTTTGTAGGTTTCATATCTGCTATTTGGTACCTCTGAGGGTGTCACAAATCTAAAAGGACTACCAGAGCGAGTAAGGGAGTGTTCTCTTAGGGTGTTTTTGAGGGAATAAGATACCTGAGATTATATTTGATGACAGTCAGAATGACAATGGACTTAATCCACTTGGGTGTAATGTTTTGCCTATTTAAGACCACGTGTCATTCTCTTGAGAATGATTCTTTTTTGAGTTGTATCCATATTCATGTGTCTTCTCATGTGCAACCATTAAACAAAGAAATGATACTCTAGGGAATGACATGTGGTCTCAGGTACCTCAGGTACCCCTTAGGAGTCATTTTCAAAATTTGCCGATGAGGATCCCCACCCTTCTTTATATAGAAGTCCCCCCTGGAGAAGTGGATGGGGGGAGAGCAACAAAATTTGAGTTGCACAGCACTTTTTCAATAAACAGCATCAAAAGGTCATTTTTATGCAACCACAATGAGAGCAGATGTCTCGAATTGTAACCAAGAAAATCCCAACCCCCCAGATGAAAAATTAGTTGTCCTTAAAGTTTGCCATTAAGATCTATTGTACAAATTGTCTTGCAATAGAGCATGAGAACCATGCAAGCATACTTTTAGATCCACTGTGCTAGAGTGCCTGCCATTATCCGTGAAACAAAACCAGATGTATCATCTAATAGCAGCAATTTTTCTGCTATTTTTTAGTACAAAAGTACAAAATAGTGGATATTACTGGAGCAGAACATTGGGAACAAAAGCAAATCAGTCTCTCCTTGCCTTTGTTTGGTTCATGCCTGAGTGAATTCTTAAGCTATTTTACAACTAAATAGTTGATAGCTAAATACTTTTTTAAGTGCTACTTGGCTAGTAAATGTTTCACAGATATATGGCATGCACCTTACTTGGTGCATCCCTTGTAAAAAGAAAGCCTATTACTTATTCTGACATTATTAATTTTAAGCAACCTTGTTCTTGGGAGAAATATTCCTTTGCCATTTTCGCATGATATAAAGAACACATATCGAGATTTGATCATGTAATCCCGACAAGTGAGAGCACTTGTGCTCTCATGAAACAGATTTGTCAAATAAACCAGCAAATAAACGTGTTATAATTGCTCATGAGGGTATTGAGATTTTGGAATGCACTAGAAATAAGTTATCATCATCATCACCACCATGTATCATCATAATCATCATCATCCTTATCATGCATCATCATTCTCATAATGTATCAACACTATCGTTATCATCCTCCTCAACATTATCATCCTAATCATCATTATCATAACCATCATAATTATCTATTCTGCTATTAGGTAACAGAGAAATGATACTGAAGGGAATGACACGTTCTGTACTATTTGTGACTTCAATAAAAATATGTATATTTATGAATATTTCCAATGAGAACTTTCTATAATAAAACCAGTTTTTTAATATTGGGAATGGCATTCACAGAGAAGGTGGAGTGCAAATCAAGGTATGTCTTGCCCAAACAAAATTCATTTTATTCTGATATTGGAATATAGTTCACATTTAAATATATTTTTCCATCTTAAACTTTTCTAATGCTGCCTTAAAATCCTCAAACTTTGAAACTTTTTCTTTTGTGTCAAAGTCATCATAACCAGCAAACAAAAGAAAATATCTTTGAAAGAAAAATTCTAACTATCTATATGGTACTGGCTGGATTTGTTAACTGTATTAGTTATGTTTCAAAATGTGCTTCTTGTTGTTCTGTTCAATTTAAATTGCTGTGCTTATATTTTTTGGTGATCAATAAAGAAATAACATGCAGCATGATTGCATACTGGAATCAAAATATGGCATTATTAGCAACTACAGTAGTATAGTGCACTCATCTAGAATTGAGAAGAGATAACTAGCTAAAAACTAGTGTGAGCTGCGTCGGTGTTTCTAATGAAACAGTAATGATAAAAAGGTAAATTATACACCGTGAAAAGATGAAAAAACTTACTGACGTTTCGGACGCTAGTCCTTTGTTGGAGTAGTATTGAATATTTGGTTTTTGTATTATATCCTAAACTATCAAGACCTCTGCCATTTCATCTGCCTCAACATAGTCTTGATAATTTACATGTAATAAATACAGTATGAGTGGTCGTGTTGTATCAGATATAACATATGTATCAGATACAACATGGACACGAATACTGTAGATTGCTTGTCAAACGTCTAAATTAGTTCCTTTGTGTTTCACTAAAATTTTCAACATTAAAGTGAATTTGGCCAAGAAAATCCAACTTTAAGTTTATGCAAATGAACACAATTTTGTATCAGATTTACAACACTCTTCACAGTCGTGATTTCTGTTGTGTTTTCCTCATTAATTATTCATGAGTTTGACAATATCATTTACTTCTGCAAAGAACGTGCATGATATGGAAAAAGACCAGGCCCGATATTAGACTGTATCAGCACTTTTCATCTGCTAGTGTTCGGATATGATTGCAGAATTAAATGATAAACAACTTATCAGTTGGCTATAAGCATATGATAAGGCTGTGCATTCTTACTCATTACTCATCACCTACAGGCTCTCCAAAATACTCTGTAACTCGTAGAAATACACACTTGTATCAGATGCAATACATCAAGCCAACTGATAACCTCTATATATCAGGTTCAAACTCATCCAATAATATCATTGTCTCATTTCCAGAAGAAAACCAAATATAATTATATTCRCAAACATACTTTTGCACTAGACTTTAGCCTGCATCAAGAGACGATTAATAACACTTCTAAATGTTGCTGGTGGTTGTGCTCCGGAGAATCCAGGTTGCCTTGCAGAACCTTCACCTTTTAAAGACAAAACAAAGTATGGGACTCCGTGTACTCCTTGCTGATAGGCACCATCAACTTCTTGCTTTATCTTTGAGATGACATCGGGGTTTTCCATGTGTTTCATAGCTGAAGAAGAATCAAGGCCTGTTTCTGTGGCAATGTCCATAAGGATATCAGYTTTGTTGATGTCATCACCTTTTTCGAAGTATCTCTTGAAGATTGTTTCTATGACAGCATCTTGTTTGCCGACCGATTGAGCATAATCCACTAGGCAATGTGATTTTAAGGTGTTTGTTATCATTCGTTGGGGGTTAAAAGTAATTCCCTATAAGATATTAACCACATTAGATTCAACATTGAGATAGCTGTGCTCTCACTTAAATCAAATCCAGAGGTTGTTTCAGGGTTCTATCTGTAAGTTAGCCATGCCCTGACTTAGATCAGCCCAGAGGTTAATTGTTTCAGGGTTTGATCTGTGAGTTAGCCATGCCCTGACTTAGATCAGCCCAGAGGTTGTTTCAGGGTTTGATCTGTGAGTTAGCTGTGCCCTGACTTAGATCAGCCCAGAGGTCGTTTCATTTTCAATCTTTTAAAACAGATCTGCCCAGAGGTCGTTTCAGGGTTTGCTCTTTAAGGTAACTAGCCCTAACTTAAATCAGCTCAGGGTTGTTTCATACACTGTGGTTTGATGAGATTGATGGTTTTTTGTTTGTTTTGTTTTTGAGTTTATAACATGAAAAATATTCATAAACTTACAAAAGCAGCTCCAGCCTGTGAGAGGGGACCAGAATGTGAGAGAGCTCCTTGTGCTGCTGAAGGCCCATACTTCTTACTAAGGTAATCTAGCAGAGGGATGCCATCTTCAGGAGTGTTAGGGTTGAGGAAGAAAGGCTTCCAATTTACCTCAAAATTTACATCCTTGAAAGACTTTATAGCCTCCTCCAGATTACGCTTTCCCACATAACACCTGCAATAATAACATACAATGAACACAACTCATGAAAAAAGCTTGACTAAGAAAATAATAATTAGCACTTTAAAAAAATCAATGAAAATTTGCTCACAAATTGTGCAAAATTCATCGTATTTTATAGCAAAATTTCTGGACGATCTAATCGTGATCTAAAGATATAATTGTGCGTACCAGGGTCAGATGTTGTCCGATATCACATCTACCACAACTGAAGGCTTTTCTTGGCTCATTTTAAGGTTTAATTTGGATTCTATAGCTGACTGAATGTGCAAAACAACACCAAAACACTGAGTAATCTGTAAATGTCTGCTTGAAACTAATCGTATTGAATCCGTACATGTTTCGGTCAGCTTTCGACCTATACTCGAGCTTAAGCGAAGTTTCTTCGGTAGGCATTCGTACTTTACGATATAGCACGAGAGAAGCACGAAGCGTTTTACAGCATTTCGAGAATCTTCCGAAATAAATCCGACTTTTTAACGACGGCCCCAGTCCCACTCAAACAATCAAACAGCCGGAAATACAAATATTGTCACCATAGTAACGGCGGCGAAAAATATAGGTTGAGTCACGTGACTAACAGTAATAGAACAAGATGGCGAAATAAAGAAAAGACTACAAAATTTTACTCTACAACGATCATATTTATATTCACGATTTGAAGTCTTCTTAGATAACTTTTTAAAGCGAGAACAATGTTTAGTCTAATGGCAAACTGTTTTACTTGGATAAAGCGGCGAAAGGAACCGATAAAGTGAGTTTTTAAGCCCGTTTTCATGTGTAACTTGGCAGCTTTACTCGACACTTGTTTTCGATACGATTGTCATCGTTGTTCTTGTTGTCTTCTGACAGGAAAGTCACTTTATTAATGGTTGGATTGGATAATGCTGGGAAGACTTCAACAGTAGCTGATTTAAAAGGAGGTTGGTGTCATTAAAATAATTTGTAATTGACTGTCAAGGTTATGTTATTGAGATTATTTTTAAGCTTACTTGTACAAGTTTAAGCGATTATTTAGCTTTTTCCTCGATTGCCGTAAACTAATCTTTTCTTATCATTACTCGGAAACTAGTTTGGGAATCAGTTCTTTAGGTAGTATTTCTCCCTGAATCTTGGACGAATATAAATTAATTTAATGTGTGTGGGGAGAAGTGGGGGGGGGGGGGAGGTTTTTCATTTTTAGTTATTCCCCCTCAAGTCTACAAGAATATATAATTTTTCCCTCAATTGATACCAAATCTAATTACATAATTTTTTTTATTCCAGACTCACTAGATGGTATTACTCCTACAGTTGGGTTCTTGTCGTCTTCATTTTCTTTATACAGATTTAATGTTACATTATTTGATCTTGGTGGGGGATCAAGAATACGAGCTATATGGAAAAATTACTTTTCAGAGGTAAGTGTAAAATTTAGTCAAATACTGCTGAATTCCTTGATTACAGACTCATTTGCTCAGGGTAACCTCATTCCAACATTAAAATATTCACAAATATTGATGGTACACTGTAAAATAAAGAATGCACAACTTCAACCATACCCCATTTTACAGTTCCATTCAGTGACCATGAATAATAGTTGCAAGCCAAGCTTGGAGTTGTCACACATGATAGTATAGATAAAAAGTGTAGTTATGCTATTTGAGGAAACTACAGCCTTGACTTGGAACTATTATTCATGGTCACTGGAAATTAGAGTATTCAAACACTTATATGGACCTTCAATGTAACACATGAATRTTCTACACAAAATAAAATAAATAATAAATAAATCACTTTTTATTTAAGTGTCTAGTCGTTCTAGCGCTTTCGCACTAATTGGGGACACTTTTCACTCACACGCACTACCACTACATTTAATATTCTATGCACACAACGCTCAACTCACATGTTGATTTTTATGGAGGGAGGAAACCGGAGAACCYGGAGAAAACCCTCGTAGCATAGGAGAGAACAATACATCAAACAAACTCAATTCACATGTGGCGACCGCAGGGCTCGAACCAGCAACCCGACCCATTGGACTCACAGCGGTGAAAGACGACGCGTTAGCCGCGAATGCCACCCATGCTACCCATAAAAAGGGAGGTAAACCTTGAGCAACAGAGAACTCCAAACTGGAGTACTGCTTGTACAGTAATTGCATTTTTTAAACAGTTTGTACATATTATATTCACATGTTTTGAATTGTTTTCATTTCAGGTGTATGGTATAGTTTTTGTTGTAGATGCTAGTGATCGACAACGATTAGATGAATGTAGAGATGCCTTACATGAAACAGTCAACAATTCCAAAATATGTGGAAAGCCATTATTAATGTAAGTAATTACTACTATGGTGTACGAACATGTACCACCATAGACCTTTTTTGTGACAACAACAGATGCATTCTGGTCTTGCTTGGGTACAAACATATTCCGTTCATCATGCCTTATATGGTGATGATCATCCCCCAAGCTAGACCAGAATGCACCTTGTTTGGCTTTTACTCAGATAACGAGTACATTGTGATCTAGCCTAGGTAGAAATTCAAATTCACTCTTTCAATTTTCAATATTTTGTGTTGTTGTATTCTTAGACTTGCAAATAAACAAGACATTACAGGTGCTATGGATGATAATGAGATCTATCATTGTCTAGACCTTGGTGCACTAATCGCTAGGAATAAATGCCCCTGTCAAGTGGTAAGTAACAAGATGTCTAATATTTAGAAGCTGTGTAGGGACTCCCTCAAAATAGACCTTATTCGTCTTGGTGCAATGTCAATTGCATTTCAGGCACGGTGCCATTCTCTTGAGAAAAAGATCCTTTGTTTGAGTTGTATCAATATTCATTTGTCACCTCATGTGCAACTGAGCGCAATCCTTAAACAAAGAAATGATACTCTAGGGAATGACATGTGGTCTGAAATGGGAAAATGTAATTGTGCCAAGAGTTTTTATTAAATGATCTTCTTTGACACAAGATAGGCCGTTTTGCATTTTACTAAAATACTTCTATCATGAATTTTCCTTTTTTATTCAAATTTGTATTTCCTCTTTGAATAATAATAAGACAATTGGTGCAAATTAATTCTGAACACAAGAAAGCGCAGGGGCGGATCCAGGGGAGGGGCGCAGGTGTTGAGCACCCCTCCCTGGTTACACTTTGTGCTCCTACTTCAAAGATAACCAATTTTGTTTTTTGCCTTTGATTCTAAGGGGTGCACCCCTCCCTGGGTTAACGTTGTGCGCAGCACCCCTCCCTGAACAAAATCCTGGATCCGCCCCTGAAGTGTGCAAGGGATTCTGCTAGTTGTAGTAAATGATGCTACGATGCAAGTGACCAATTGAAATCACACATATTGCTTTGAGTAATAAGTTAGTAAATCATGAAGGAAGAGCTAACATCTTCCTCTCTTTCATTGTCATAATATTTCTATCTCTTCCTTTATTTAGTTTTCATGTACTGCTGTTCTGGGGCAAGGAAATAAAATTGATAGACAAATAAAGAAAGGTAAAAAAAGTCAAGTCAGYAAACGCTCAGAATATTTTTTAGTACATATTAACACATATTATATCTGAAAGCCAGACCATTTAAGATTAAACTGTTTCGCTAGGAGCAAATGTTGTTGAATTTTCTATTGGATTTGGCAATTCTATCCCCCACATTAACAAGCAGTGACGTCATAGTGAAATAGGGCAATTTGGCCAGTGATCACTCAAAGTAGCCTTATACTTGTACAGTAGATAAATAGAGGATATTACATGGGCGAGCGGAGATACGAAATTTACCTTCGAGTGTTGAAAAGCCCTCTCACAAGTGAGCGCAGCGAACGAGTGAGAGATTTTCAACACGAGAAGATAAATTTCGTATCTCCAAGCGACCATGTAATATTCTGTTTATTATATAATTATCAATGAAGTATGTTTTGGCTTTTTCAGGCAATTCTTTCCGTGCATTTTTGAATAGCCATCGCAATGGTGTTATTTTCACACGTGAAAATAACATGTTATTTTCACGTGTGAAGATATCAATTTTTCGAAATAGAGAAAAATAGATATTTCATTGGTAATTATATAATAATACAATTTAATCTTCTGTTTTTGGCACATGACTGGTGAAGTGTTGTGAGACCTTGCTTTTCACACGGTTACCATGTCAGTCTTATGCATGAAGTCTTCTTCTTTCCTTCCTCCCTTCTGTATTCCTTTCTCTCCTTCCATATTTATTTATTTCCTTCCTTTCTTCCTTTGATGTATTTATTTCTTGTACTAGACACTAAAATGTTTTCAAATCGTCATTCTAGGTTTTCACTGGTTACTGTCAGAAGTATCAAGAAATTTTACGCACCTTTCACAGCGGGTTGAGCGAGACTCGGCAGAACAGGTACTTACAGTACAATAATTGATACATGTATGTTAGTGAATTATCAATATATAGAACTGGATACAGAAGGAGAGTACATAAAATAAATATTTTATTGCTCATACTTAATAGCTTTAGCACTGAAAGATATTTTTTTTAAATTTTAATTTAAAAGATTAAATAAGAAAAAAAAAATGTTAGTTTTTAATTTTTTTTAATTGTACAACTGTACTTTCCTATTATAATTCCAGAAGCATTCCAAAGTTAATCTTATGACTTATTTCAACAACTTCTAAAAATGTCATTACTAAAGTATAATACACTCTATGCATCATACACTGTAGTCTTCATGTTACTCTTTATATTTTGACTATTTTTGGCCCTTATTTTCCAGAACCGAATTCTTGCTGAACAGAGAAAACAGAAATTCGAAAGGGTGAAAAAGGAAAGAGAAGCTCGGTAAGTACATATTAATATTCAATTTAATATCTATTTGTACATATATTTCTTTGTAAGAAGATTATAAAGAGAATATGCAACCATTTTTTTCATTGGTCTGCCTGATTAGCAAGTAAAGCACTTGTGCCAAACTAGAAAACTTGACACAGTAATCAAATATATACAAATTGATAATAATAATTATTATTATTATTTAACTTAGCTTTATTTATGTAAGTATTATCTCAATTAGCATGTTGAGAATTTCAAGCCATTTGAAAGGTCATCCTAACTCAATACTCTAAATGCATAAATCTAATATACTAGTTTTTTGTCCCTGCACAGTGAAAAAGCAGAGAGGGAGGCAGCAGAGAAAGCTGCTAAAGAAGGTGAAGAGTCTGATGATGATGATTTAGTGGTTGGAAAGGTTTGTAATACCAAATAAATCCCTTATTCGTGCTAATCCACATAGGACATTGATGGCATGTGAAAAGCGCAAGATCCAGGAATTTTAGAAGGGGGTGACTATTACAAAGGTTTTACCAGGAATTCCAGGAAAAGGGGGGCTACTGTTTTAACGATATACTTAGAAATTTGAGAAAAAGGGGGCTGACTAGTCAGGGGATAAAAAAGTTTGTATTGAATATTTTATAACAGACTTAAATATTCTTCTTAATCATTATAATAATATGATTATCGATTATTATCCAGAATTCTAAAAGTCCATCGTCAGAACCCAGTACACCTGTTAAGGAAAAGAAGAAAAGTAAAAGCAAGAAGAAAACTGTAACAGGAGAAAGATCTCCAGAAACCACACCCATAAACGTAAGTAATAGACCCATTGAAGCACATGGGAATTCAGCTCAGTTTGGAGGACGTAAACATACTATAGGTTTCAAATTCTCATGAGATTTAAATTCTTTTGTTTTTCCCCCTCCAAATTGAGCTCCTTTGACGTCACATGCAAGGGGTCTGGGTATTGAGACAGAAATACTTTAATGGGAATTAAGAGTGTTGTAGTGGTTAGTTTACTCACCTGTCACCTCGCAGGGGTCTCAGGTTCTATTCCCGGACTCAACAATTCAGTTTATGTAAGAAGAGTTTCTCAACTAGGTCTCTCCCTTCATTCAAGGGTTGTCCTCTAGTATTCCCTTCCTACACAAAACCTATGGTGCAAAAATTTTTATAATATTTTTTGTAATAAATCTATGTTATCTCACTTCCAGGACACCTCAGTGGAAGATACTAGTGGTCCACCCCGCAGACTAAGACCACTAGGAGACTTAGAAGACAGAGTACAACACAGAGCAAAACTAGAACCTCTAGATGCTTCACAACAGAGTCTAAATGAAGATTCTGAAAASAAAAAGAAAAAGAAGAAAAAGAAAAAAAGAAAATCAAATAAGACAGCTCCTATTGACGATGACCCAGATGGGACAGAGCCATCATTGCCATCGGCATTAGCTTGGGGTACACCACCAAGTACTCTGAATGGATTTCCAGCAAGTGCTAATGGTACTTCTCCAAGGCGACTTGAACCACTTGCGCATACTTTATTTCCAGGTACAGATTTATTATCATATTCTTGTGCTATCATCTTGTGTTGTTACAGGCATGATTACACGGAGCAATTTTCTTTGCAACTTCTCTCCCAATGGCATTGCGACATAAGTTGCATGTAGCATTGCAGCGTGTTACCAACACTGAAATTTGAAAAATATGTTGAGTGACAAGTTGCAGCAGTCGTTGAGAAAAGTTAAATTTGTTTCTACTTTTGGCAATGATTGAGTTTCTGTTGCACTGTGTAAACACTCTTGCTTACGCCTTTAATATATAATATTTTACGTTGAAAAAAGTGAGAGATTTCTCAGTCCGAACCAGAGGTGCATGGCTAAAGCACCCAACACAAGATTGAATTGTAATTTAGAAGTTCATTTTTGCGAAGGGTGGAAAACCGGAGAAACCAGAGAAAACCCTCAAAGCACAGAAGAGAACCAACTAGCAACTCTACTGACATATGATACCAAGCCCAGGAATCTAACATCGAAACCAGGGTGCATTAGTGAGAGGCAGTGTATTTTTCTTGGTAGAAAGGCTTGTCTTGTGACTTTTCCTCTTTTTAGTGTTTTTGGACATATGATTGAATAGATTTGTCATTAAATAAGTCTCTGTTGATTTCCAGATTCACGGTTGGCAGGTTCTACCATACCAGAACATGACGAGGTAAATTATAATATGTATAGTAGCAATATCTACTGACATGTATTACAGTATATCAGCACTGCTTCTTGAAGGATTCAAAGCCCTGCTAGTGTACACTTACTTGATTTGGGTTCGCTTGAGTAACTTGGTATAGATATTTTCTGATAAATACAATGTGATGGGGATGATGGTGATGGTGGTGATGATGGTAATGATGGTAATGATGGTAATGATGGTGATAACGATGATGGTGATAATGATGATGAGGGTGATGATGGTGATGGTGATGATGGTGGTGATGATGGTGATGCATGATGATGATGATGATGATACATAATGAGAATAACGATGATGGATGATGATGGTGATAATGATGATGAGGGTGATGATGGTGATGGTGATGATGGTGGTGATGATGATGGTGATGGATGATGGTGATGATGATACATGATGAGGATAACGATGATGGATGATGATGACGATGATGGAAATTGATGATGATACAATGGAATGGATGATGACTTTGGTAAACGACAATAATGGATGTTGATTGCAATAATGATAGATGATAAATAGATACGATGATGACGGATGATGGATTATGTTGCAGAAAAGGATGGTGATGATCAATAGTTTATTATGCACTCATTTTATGACGTAATGATCAGCTGAAAGATCCCAGTATCCTGTATATATTTCCTGCTGCTTACTATACCATGCTATTTTAGTGACATTTATTAACAATTTCAAATAATATTCTAATAGGAAACCGTAGGTCAACGACTTGCACCAATCAGAAGTAACAAGTCCTGGACAAGAAATCGACCCAACAGTGAAGACCATGATATCATGACGTAGTTACGACCAGGAAATAAGGGGTTTTACGGCGGAGCACATCGACTAAAGTTTTCCTCTTGGGAAATGAAATCTTTTATCTTAAAAATATATTACAGTTGTTCCTGCCCCTTAAGAAAGCTGCCGTGATTGGTTGATGCGCGTGGGTTATGAGCACGCAGCACGCGTACACAGTTCAGTCTATAGACCCTTGCATTCCACGTCAAAGTAACTCAATTTGGGTGACAAAGCAAAATAATTTCAATCTTCTGAGAATTGGAAACCTATTGTTTTGCCCTACAAATTGAGCTGTATTCCGACGTGCTGCAAGGGTTCTATTTCCCCGTTCGTATCCAAAACAACGTCTATTCTAATTTTATTTCATAAAAGAAATAAAAAACTTACTTCGGTGATGTCTAAATATCACAGTTTTCGTTGCTACGCTTGATTGAGACAACAGTCCAGACAGGTAAAAGAGACAATAAATTCGCCGTCAATCAAATTAATTATTCGGTACCTTTGCATACTTTGATTGGCGGTAGTTATTGCCTGATTTCCATGTCGCGAGTGTTGGCTCGATCAGCGCGTAGCAATGAAAAAAGCGTAGAAAGTCCTTGCACTTTTTAAGCGAAATAGTTCCATCGTTCATTAGTGCTGTGCCTTACTAGAAAGCAGTCATCTTCAACTTTTATCCTAGCCTGCGTTGCCGGCGGTCTGCGGGGGGTTTTTTTTCGCCGCAGACCGCCGGCAACGCAGGCTACTTTTATCCTGACTTAGAGAGTCGAGTAATTAATTGAAATGCCTTTGGTGTCTTATGAAGAGGACGTTCGTTTGATGGTCTTATCTTATTACGACTACAATGCTTGGAGTATCATCTTTGATGTGAAAACAGGCCCGGCATTTGCTCTGAAAACTACCAAAAGAAAGCGCGCAAGGGATTATGGTAGTTGTAGTATATAACCCTATCGTGCAAACGACCTACTTGATAACTTCATTCTAACTTTTAGTTTTTACGAAGATAAATCACTGAAAACTACAAAAAGAAACGCGCAAGGGATGATGGTAGTTGTAGTATATAATCCTATCATGCAAACGACCTATTGGATAACATCATCCTAACTTTTAGTTTTTAAAAATATAAATTTCAGAAGTTTATATTTATGTGAATAATGTATATTAGAAATAACATTTGTATAAAGAAATTATTAATATTTATCTTTAAGATGCTGTAAATTAAAGCGGTATGCAAGCACTGGTCGAATCATCAATCAGTTCTAGCATCTTCGACGAGGAATCTTTCAAAATATGAGAAAATATATAAAAGTCAAAAAAAAAAATGCGTTCTGTTCTTTTTCAGTATAACTTTGCAACAACAACAACATCAAAAAACAAAAAAAAAACAAAAAAAACAAAAAAACAAAAAAAAGAGAAAAAATTCCTTGCCATGGCCCTAGTAAAATAAATGGAAAATGCAAGTTGTGCGAGCTTATGTTACAAGCAGAAGAAGCTTAGCTCGTACTATCTCTATTCTTTCTTGTGATGCACTCCTCGAAAGAGAAATCGATGCGTATAACAGCGCCTTTATACTGACTTCGGAAAACAGCACAGACAGAGAGGAACCAACAATTCTCGCGACTTCGACGCGCTAGCTTTTTTCAGTAGTAATGTTGCACTCGCTAAGTAGAGCTGTCACGAGATTGGCCAAAACGAACAAACAATAGTTTTCATTGTCGACTCGTTCTATTGTGTTGTTTATATTGTTTYTCGTTCTATTGTATTCATGTTTAATAGATCTTCTTAGAGCTGCGGCCCTTTATTCACTTGCACATGCTTTGCTCGTGACTCTTGCTCTACTCCCTGTAGAGTGATTAATGTTGTGTGTAACCTCTGGTTTATTCAACTTTGGTTAGAGTGCACGCACTAAAAACCGTGAACATTAAATAGTACTAATTAGTACTATTTCATACAGAATCCTTTGTTTTCTATTTTTTTAGTTATCACTATTTAGTGCTAAAAATTAGTATTTGTTTCACGGATTTAGTGAGAGCACTCTATTGGTTTCAATACTTCAATTACTTGGTTCAGTAGAACATTGCAGGTTCATAAACGTATAACTATAAACTATTTTCAAAAACCACTCTGACAGCGCCAAGATCCCCAACTGCCCCCAACGCGCGCATGGCTCTGTTCTTAAGTACGCCGCAACCTCTCTCTTCCAAATCCCGGTAGCCCAGTTACATACGCAAGCGAACGGAATCCACAGCTTGTGACAAGTGAGTTGAGCGCAGCTAGCAAAACAGTGAATGTCAAGATGAACAGAAAACAAATAAACCTTGYGTTTGTTGAAAGCATCAAGAGTTTATTGAGTGAATAACTTCAGTATATTTTCAGTACATACAGGGTAATGCTCTTCTTTGTCATAATTGTGCAAATACCTTAGAGTCTAAGGCCCGGTCTAAGGTATTCGCACTATTATGACAAAGAAGAGCATTGATTAGCGATTAAGAGAGGCTGTCCGTAAATATCGAC